AGAATTTTATTTTTGTTCTAAAAATTATGAAAATAAAAAAATATACAAGTTAACATAAAAAAATTGTTAATATTATAAAAAGAATGCGCTTTAAAGTTACAAAATATTCTAGATAGTTCAAAAAATTAAAATCGAGTAAAGTAACCAAAAAATCTAAATGTCTTTTTCTTCTGCCAATAGCAGCATAAAATAAAATTTCATTTAAAGGTAAGCGAAAAGTATTTTCTAGAAAGGCAAAATACTTCATGATCATTTCACAGAATGTTAACATAGGATGCTAATTCAAGTGAATAAGAGCTGTTAAAAAAAAAACTCTATTTAAAGTTATTATAAAACAAGTATTTAAAATTGGCTTTCAAGTCAAACACGTGTTTCAGGTTTAATTGCGAGTATAAATGGTCACATGGTACGCTAAGTACTTTGATATTATGGAAAATTAATCAATATTACTTGAAATTTTTAGCCACCTCTAGAATTTTTGCATTATTATTTTCTAATTTTCTTCTATAAAGCTTGAAAAATGCAGAGTTCATTTTCTACACTTTCTTTTATTTATCCAGACGCCACCCCCATTAATTAAGATAATTTTGCTCTTTTCATGCAAAAAGGAAAGCTGCGTGTCCCCCACGTTATAAAAAGGAGCAGAGCACTAAAAGGCTAATTTCCGGCGCCCAGACGCAACCTGCGACGTGCCTGGCAAGAGGAAAGCATCGATTGAAGAGATCACGTTTCCCCACTGACGCTCTCGAGATGTGCAGACAATGCATGAGAGGGTCCCACTGATGTGACCACTCCAGTCACTCTCTCGCGTTTTGTGCGGACGAGCGAGCCAGGTGCTTCAGCCCGCGCAGATAAACCTCGAGTGCCATTCAAACACTCAGTGAGCGACGCTTATTAAAAAAATCGATACAAAACTTTTAAAGACTTGCACCAGCGATTGAAATCAATTGTTTGTGTGTACTATTCCATATCAGATGTGTTCATTTTAATTTTAGTTAATTTTAGAATATTATCACGAAAATAATAAGGAAGTTCAGCCCAGTCAATAAACGCGATTGATATTTACTTTTATATTTTGCTACTTTTTCTTGTGCAGGTTTGTTTTCAGTTATTTATTTAATATTTAAATTTAAATTTTATAACAGTATTAATAAAAATATTGATAAAGTACTTTACTTACTAAATTATATTATAATAAATTTATTTTTGGTTTACTTTTACCCCTGTTTGCAAATCCTAGCAAAAGTATTTAAATCTGGAAATTTGGAACGCACCGAATTATTTTCAGAGCCAAAACAATAGTCAGAAACGCGTTTTCTCTATCTAACTCGGCCGCAATTAAACAGAGTGGTGGTTTTAATTCGCGTTAAAGGCGTTGATGGGGTGTGTGTGGCCGGCAGGGTGGTTGCGAGTGACGTCACGGACACATAAACCCCAAATTGCTCCACAGGGAGCGTCGCCACTTGTCCAGATGGGACTGGAATTAAATCAAAGAGCGAAATATCCCTTTGTGAAAAGAGGAGAAGGAGGCGATTGTGTGGCGCCGGTAAACAAAGGGGATGCTGCTTTTTTTCTTCCCCCGAGATGCACACACGGAGAGAAAGAGAGATCACAAGAGCAGCGAGCAGAAAAAGAAAGAAAAAGATTCCCCGGACTCGGCAATCGGCACGATTTTTCCTCGGAGAAAATCTTCGGCGCGCAATTCCTTTAATGGAATATTCGCGGAGGCGGGCACGCATTGATATGGAGATCTTTCTTTCTTTCTTTCTTCCTCTTCTCCTTTTTTCCTTCTCTCTGTTTGTCTGCCTGCCTCGCAGATTTACTCTCTCTCGGAGCAAAGCGAGTGGGGCCAGACAATCAAATAAATGATACAATCTTTATCTGGGATGGCCACTCGATCCGGCCGGCCCGCTCCGGGAAATTCAATCTTGCTATAATGGATCCACTTACTGACATCTGACTCACGGCCCGGCCTAATGATTTTCGCTGGAAATCGCGGGGGATGATCAGAAAGATTTTCCGACGGCAAACAAAGAGCTCAGTCGTATTCTGAAGACTAGTGAAATTAAAATATTTTGGCCGTTAAATTCCTTTAAGTTAGTAGACTTTTAGGGGTTCAACTTTTAGCCCCTAAATCAATTCTAATTTTGATTATAATGCCAAAATCTGCAACAAAAGTGACGTCCAGCCTGATTTGATTATTTGATATTTTTATACGTTAAGAATCAATGCTGAATTAAAAAACTAGGACTGTGCTCTTAAAATAAGTTTTTCTTACGTTTAAAATGGCCTAATTTCCACCAGAAATATGAATTTTGCCAATGAATATGTAATCGAATACAAAAGACAAAATTCCTGGTTTTATTTTTCATTTTTTTTTTTTTTAGATTTCGTCAAAACATTTCAAATTCACCATATTTGCATTTAGAGAATAATGATTTTTTTCTTTCAGTCTCTTGATTATTTCTTTTCTCTCCCTCTAGCAATAAGGAAAGCAGTTGACGACTTCCCAAAAATTGCAGTATTTAAGTAATAAAATCTCTGGTGCCATAAACTTTTGTGATCCGCTGATGAGATGGCGCAAAATTAAGCAGATGCGTTCGAGGGGAGCAGAAAAATGATGCACCCCGCTTTCCTTCTTTATTTCTCTCTGTATCTGGAGCCGTGATAGATATTTGGATAGAGATTGCAGCCAGCCAGCCTGCAAGGCACCCCAAAGCCGTTTTCTGATGGGCCGCGGCGGCCACGCACCGCAGAGCGTGGAAATTGCAAGTCCAGCTTTATTCGGCGTTATCAGCGCGAGGCAGTCAACAGTAAAAGCCGAGGAGAACGAGAGAGCGGACCGAAGATTTATGTCCCGAGACCGACTGCCTTCATACAAGAAAAAATAAAAATATAATGCTGAGCTCTCAGACCCTGGGGAGCCGCAATGACGAGCAACATTTCTCTAATCCCAACAATTTGTTTCATTGAATTTCTAACTTTCCAACAACGTTTATCATCTTCATGGACGTCTTATTAAAAATTAAAATTTATGTCAGAACTTTAAAATTTCTGAGATGTTTGACTACAGCCAAAATTCAACGATTTTAAGAAAATACTAGTAAATTTTATTTGTTTGTCATACAGTGATATTCAATTGGCAAGATTGAGAAAAAATTGATTTTCAATTATTGACTGAGGTATTAGGCAGCATAATTGTTACATTTTAATACACATTATTTGATCAAATAATTTTTAACTTTTATGCATTATGACACCGCATATATATAAATAACTTAGTTTATTAATAAACTTATTAATATTATTTTATTTTCCTCAATATTGATCTACTTTATATCAAAAGTCTCTGCACAACAGTCACTACACCATTTGTTAATGCTGTCATGGAATAATTCAAATTGTTTTTTGGAAATAATTTACAATTAGATAATAAAGTGCAAAGGCAAAGCATAATTATAGTAAAACATTAACTTTAAAAATAAATAAAATGTTGGTTTATAATTAATTTTTTAAATTGCTGGAATTATAACAAACATAAAATAGCAATAAAATTAAACAATGGATTATATTAAATTTAAATTTACTTATTTACTAATAATTTTCAATTTAAGGGAGAGCGTTTTCTTTATGGATTAACGTTGATGTGTGGTCGGGGTCTTTCTAAAATAAAGCGAGCATCCGTCATTAAATTCAGTGGCTCGAGCGCGGGCTTAGACGGCATTAATGGAATTGTGTGTCGTCACCGTCCGTGTTTGTACAGTAAATATTGCTAATGGACAAATTTCCCAGCTTGCTTTGTCGCGTGACGCTGCATTGATTGGGGTAATGGACGTGTTGCAGGCCCCACACGAATAAATGTACATATCACTCGCAAAGCAAAATCAGACAATCAGAGTCCCGCCGCGAGACTCTGTCCCCTTGTTTTCATACACGTTCAAAGCAATCAAGCTAAAAACGGCTTTGTACGTTTAATCCACACGCATAAATTATCGTTTCCAAAAATAATACCGAATTATTTCGCAGAAACAGTGTTTGGAGTTAAATCTGCACTTACAAGTGCGACGCATTTTAAATTTGTACTCAATTTTATTGCTATAAATTAATCATGATTTTATATTCAAATTCCATATTATCTATATCATATATGATGATGATCATGGCAGAAATCGTTGTTTTTAAGTTATTTAACTAATATTTACTAAAATTTTCACATTATTTTACAAGAATAACTTATGTAATGTATCCTGTTTCTCAGCTTGATTTTAACTAGATTGTTGAAAAAAAAGGACAAAATAGTATTACTTTATTACTCTACGTTTAATAAATATTCAATGAAATTATATATGAATGACAAATCATGAAAATATTTTTAAAATTGGATTAAATTAATTAAAAAAACATCAACCTTAGGTTTTAGAGTGATTTTGACAGAGAAATAACTGTGACTGAGAAACAAATTTTGTCTCCAATCGTATTAGAAAAAAAATCAGTCATAAATTGTATATAAACTCATTTACAGGACAGTTTGTTGAGTCAATAACAAATTTTTTAAATTTTCTTCACAAATTTTGCGTTGCGTCACAAAAAAAAAATTAAATCCACCTAATGAATTTCTCCAAACCGATCGAGAAGGTTTTTCCCTCAAGATTGAGTCAAACTGTTGTTAAAAAATGCTGCAACCTGCGCAACAGACGTGACAAGATAATTGCCTAAATCACATTTAATTTCTTAAGAGGAAATTAAATTAATGCAATTCCTCAAACGGCGAGTTGCACCCAGCACCATAATTACGACTGCTTTTTATCTATACGGTAAATATGTTTTCATAACTTGACACCTTCAAATGGTGAGCAAGTTCTTGCAGAAACTATTCAAAATGTTATTTTCTTTGTAAGACAAGCTCTTTTTTTTAAATTCAGAAAATTTTCTGAATAACTTACATAAGTATGATCTTAAATTTTAAAAAGATTAAATCTAAAAATAGGGGTTGTACTCACGGTTTGAACAGGGCGGACGCCTTGTCACGGAGCATGCCGAGGGCTGGTGGAAATCCAGGCATGGTGGTGCTTTTTTCTTTACGGCTCCGACGCTCAGATGGAAAACAAAAACTGGTGCCTCAAAGGGCCAACAAACAACAACACTAGATAGATTTTGAGAACAACAGTTAATTTAAAGTTCTATGTGGGCGACGGCCCGACCCGCGGGGGTTCCTTGGCTGAAGAGGAACACGCGCTGCTCCCCCGTTCATCCACATCCCAGCATCCTGCAACACAAAAGAAATCGGAGTTTCAATTTGAAATTCGTGAAATTTCTCGAAAGATTTAAAAAAAGCAGATATGAGCTAAGGTTGACTGGATGAAAATTTGGGAGGAAAATGGAAAGATCTCGTGTTTGAAATTTGAATGAAATTTAAATATGGTACATACGGTAAAGTGTTGAATTTGTGCATTTTTAATGTAAATTATATAAGCCAAAATTTCACAAAACGCATAGTTTTTTCGCAATTTTATCAAATATAAGCAAGTTTAAAATTTTCAAACTTATAGAAACAAATTTTAATTGAGAATTTCAACATCTTTTAAAAAAGGAATTGAACAATACGGTACAACCAGTAATAATTGTAATTTTGCAATATTATCCATATTAAAAGTTAAAATTTAAAAGATATGACCAAAATTCCAAATTGAAATTCGCTTTTGATATTATTTTGATGTTAAATTTGTTAAAAAAATAAATATAATTTTTTAAATTATCTATGAAACCAATACATATCTATAATAATTAACAATATGCTCTGTACCATAATTACAGTTGATTGAACGAGCTATCAAGATATTAATTTTTGTCTACTTTCAATTGAGTATTTGCTTCAAATTTTTCCAATTTTAATCATTGAAAACATTCTAGACACTTTTATAAGACAAATCGGATCAATTGGGATGAAAATTAAGCAATAATGTGACCTAATTAAGTGCGAAAAGTGGAAAAACGCGGGCGGTACGTACCTGAGATGCAGAGGCAGTGTGTCCTCCGCGGCTGGGGAGGCGAGAGAGCGGCGCCGAGAGGCGGCTCCGCGGCCGCGAGTGCGCCCACACGGCGCCAAATCCATTGGCTGCTCAGCTGACGCGAGCCCATTGGCTGCCGAGCGCCTATCGCGACCCGGTGCGGGGTAGTCACCCTGTGACGTCACCCCTATTGACGGCCCTTATTAAGGGATTACACGCCAGCGCTTTTTGCTTCAATTGAAACTCATCGGCGCCGCCGTAGCAGTTTGCTTTGCAAAAATAATTTCACCAAACCGGCCTGCGCCGATCAATACTTTCTTGGCTGCTCGCGTGATTTCATGCAAATTCGCCCCATGGGAGACGCAGCTTTTGGGCTCAAACGTGGCACAAATTGTTTTCTCTGATGGTCTCCTATATAAAAAAATCTATGTGGAAGATTTCAGACGATTATTAATAAACGAAGAAGAAAATAATGTGTAGTTTGGTGGTCAGATGTAAAAGAAACAAGTGAGTGAACATAAATCTCAAATTTTTGTATTACACTTTTGGAAACTGCCTAAAACTGGCTGATATGAGTGATTATTTTAGACAGTTTAGTTTTTTAGGCTGCAATGTGGAAAAACGAATTTCATTAACTTTGTAAAATTGATAATTTAAATTAATATTATAACGTTTATTAAGACTTTTAATCCAATTTTTCATTGTTGAATTTTTATGTTTAGTTTTAAATTTAAGCTTGATTTTTGCAGATTATAAGTAAAAAATTAGTTGGATATTGCACTTATATATACGTTATATACCAAATTATGGTGAATTTATGTTCTCGAATAATTTGAAACATTGATGAAAAGCGTATCAAGGTTATCATTCCAAATGTCAGTAGTCATCATGTAACCACTAACTAATTATATACTGCGCATTCCAAATTGAAATCCAACTTTGTTTACTTTGATATAGCAGTCAATTATATTTACATGCAGAGCTTTTAAAACGCTTTGAAATAGTAATTTAGTCGGCCTTCTATAAACTGTGGTGGTTTATTTATTCGAAAATCCTGCAGGGTCCATTAGTAAATCATAGGCTTATGAACTGATGATGGAGATGGAAATACAAATTGCAAACCTAAAAAGGCAGTTGATGAAAATTTAGAGCATTTTGGAAGTGAACTTTGGTATTAATTGATTTCTCTCTTTGGATGTGTTGATACTTTTTACGCTTTTTACGATAAAAGCAATTGCAAATTGAAACTCTTAAACTTTATTTCAAAATATGCCATCATCAAAATTTAAACTGATGTTGTGATAATGTTAGATCAAAACAGTCCAGAGCTTGATGGTTGAAGCAAGAAACGTTGCTACCGCATTGCCGAAAGAAATCAACTAACTTTGGGAAAAATCAAAGTTGGTTATTATTTTTTGTGTGCAGCAACTTTATTGATATTTGCGCCACCCACATTCAGATTCATTCACATCGGGTTCCCATTGACGTCATTCGGAAAAATTTTGCTGGCATCGTGCCCAAAATTGAGAAGAGAAGCAACTCAAGAGTGCTGCTCCACATTCGGAGCTCGCGTCTGTTGGGGCGCCTCGCCGACATTTTGACGCCATTTTCTGCCCTCATTCTGGAGCCAATGTGCAAAAGCGACCGCCGATTTTATTGAGCACTTAGCCCAGCATGTTTGTTGGTTTTAATAAAGTTTATTCATCTTTAATAAATTCACAAATAAAATAAGCAAACAAGTAATTTCTGGCAAAAAATGTCTTAATTTTGTGTGCGTTTCTTTTAGCTATTGTATTACAATCATTTAATGCAGATATGAAACTGCAAGAATATAAAATTGTTCATGTTTTATGGAATTTATTTTTAGGGACTGAAACTTTTGAAAGCTGCGGTTTTTTGTTTGATTTTTGGCAAGGTCCGCGCATCAGCAACAATGAAAAAAGTTTTGATTGTTGTTTGAGCTCTCTGATTGGGTACAAGTAAAGTTGTACCCAATCAGAGAGCTCGGCAACAATCGAAATTTTCTGATGAGCGGACCTTGATTTTTGGTGAGAATTCCGTACTATACTTGTTATGTGATTGAATTTGCTCTCGAATAGTGATGTGCGTCGGACAATGGAGAGAAAAACAAGGGACAACAAATTGGCCGTGTCGTGGAGATTGCGAGAGAGAGCATGGTGTGGAAATGAGATGTTGGCGCGGCTGGGGCACCATGGCGCGCAGAACACGGCACAAATATGCAGAGCTTGCAGAATGGAGGCTGGAATATGGTCCCAGCCATGCAGCAAAAGGGCTGGCTCAGGCACCACCTCACAATAGTAGCAACCCTTGCGCTTGTTAAATCAATATAGCTGGCCCAAGTCGTGCAATAACTAGCTCCTCTCTCCCGCCGCTCATCGCGCTCAAAGCTCGGCTGCGCACATCCCATTGGTCTCTCCGATCTGCATTGAAAAACTTATTTGATTTTAAATACCAAGGAAACGGAAAAAATAAATTCAAAATTCGTCGAGAATTTCCTGGATATTTTCAAAACAAAATCTATTCCATTTTATGAACGGAGAACTTCAATAAAAAACGCCGAAATCACTATTTTTTAAGATTGATATCAATTGATATATTTTATTATGGACTAATTGGCTGATGTGATATTATTAGTTTTTTAAGCTATAGTAAATAAAATCAATTGAAACTATGATTTTAACAAAAGGTTTCAATACATGGGAAACACCTGAAAGCATGGAGATGAATGAAATATTTTTCATATGTTTTTTTTATTTCAGTATCTTCAAGTATTTTGTAAAGTTTGAACTGAAATATAATAATTGATAACAATGAATTTCCACTAAGAACGTTGAATCAGAACTTAAGAATTCACTTTTCATCTTATTCAAACTTAATTTAAGACTATTCTTATGCAAAAGCTATACTATTTGTGATTAAGGATAAAATTAAAGAGACAAATTTTTACCCTGTGCAGATTTTTTTATGAAAACAAAAAGAGACAATTGAACTTGTTTTGTTGTTTTTTTCTGCATAAAATTTGTAAGTAGTGTTGATTCTAGTTCAAAGTTCAATAATTCCTGACGCTCTTATCAATAAAAAATGATCGAACTATGGATCATAATATTTTTATTAATTTCTTAATTCTTTATATGCTTTAATTTAGAATGGATTCCAATGCACAATTTTCTGTGACAAACGCTTTTTGACTCTTGACAAGAAAAAATTGTAATTTTGCTGGAGGGGCAAAACTAGACTGTCGGCACGACATGCACGTCAGGCCAGTTGCATAACTTTGCATTTTACAATATTTATTTGTTGGTTTTATTGAAATAAAATACAGTATAATTCAATTGTTTATTCTGAATACACGTTTAACTCGATGAGACACTAATGTTTTAATTACAAATCCAAGCGAATTAAACAAAATAATTTAAAGTGATTTAAAGCAGAGTTTAAAATCAGATAATTAAGCTTTGCCATATTTAAAAATAAATAATCGCATATATAAATTATAGCACTGTATGATAACCCTTTACGGATGCTATTGATTTTTTTAGCCTCAAACGGAAGTGCTGTTGCAGAGGCGCTGTAGATGGTGTGTTTCTTTCCACTGAAAGTCTCTCTCGCTCGAGCAGGGGTGGCTTAGCGGTGCCGAGATTGCTTTTCTCGCTTTGCTCCAGCAGAGCGTGACACGGTCACGTGACAAGAATTCAGGGCAGCCCTATAAAAAGCATCCAGTGGAAATTGTAATGTGACAGATGGAAAGCGGACGAGACAAAGCGGCAGATATGAAAAATGCCTCCGCCTCCTCTCCTCCTTTAAAGGAAATTAGGTCGTAAATCATCGATTAGTCTATGGCAGAGTAAAAGTAAAGGGTCGTTAGTTTAGACGAGAAGGATGCTTATAAAAAATTTTGAAAGTTGATCCAATATAAAAATTTAAAGTTTTGTTTAAATCCAAAGATCAAGCAATAAATTTAAATGCTGATTCTTAATATATGCGTCAAAAATCACAGCAAGAGAGCAAAAACAGCAATAAAATAGGGTGGTTGGCGGAGCTTGAAAAACTCTCTTGGTCGCGAGAGGAGGACTCGGCGTGTATTTATAATAATAGTGGATAGCCTGCCTAGCGCGCAGTGAATATTCAAGCGGGGGATATTTTGTTCCGGTAAATGGAGCAACATTGTTAATGCGTATGCGTGAGGAGCGCGCGGGTGGGTGCGGAGAGAGAGCTGAATCGTCACTTTTCCAGCGGTTTCAACCACCACCCTCACCCTCCCCGCATTAAAACTCTTTACCATCAATCCACCCCCTCCGACGTCTCTTTTGCTCTTCGCTTTGTGTCTCTTTAACTCATGCTATGCATATTATGTACAAATCATTTGGAATGTTTCTATATTTCTTATTTAAAAAAAATTATAAATTAAATGTCGATGAAATGGAACCCTATTTTATTTCTATAATTCATATTATCAAGTATATAAAAGTGCGGAAAAAAAATCAAATCAAATCAAAATAGTTCAAAATGAATTTCAGCGTATCTTTAAAATTGTGTGCACATTATTGAAAAACTCAATTCAATAATCTTAAGTTAAAGTCCTTTAAATGTACACAACTTGAAGCAAACAACTTTGAAATAGGCGAATTAATATCAGAGGAGCTGCGTTTCTGCACGCATGCATCCACGAGTACTTATAAATTTATATATCTATCAGTCAGCAGCATGTAACAGTTTATTAAGTGTTATGAAGTCATCACAGGGCTTAGCAGTACATAATGTTCCCCCTCGGCCTGTTTGGAATGTATCGGGGTATTAAAATCGCAGCACCCTCCAGGGCGCGGAGTGGAGAGAGAGCATCTCTCGCTCCGTCTCTCTCACTGGTATTGATCCCTGGGGAGAGAGAGCAGAATTTATACATAACAGAGCATGCAGAGCGCTCGCTATCTATCCTGCGGGAAAATCACGAAACTTGCCATGCCAAATGAGGCTCTTCAAAAATAAAACACAAGTTAAAAAATTTGTCTTCAAACATTATTACTTCTGATCACTTTTGATTTTGTGGTTTTCATTAAATTATTTGTAATCAATATTGACTTGAATTTTTACATCTCATTTTAAAATTTATTTTTTAAAAGCTAAAAATTTACTGTCAAACAAAGGTTTTTAAAAAAAGTATTCTACTAGATTTGGATAAAAATTTGTAAAAATTGGGTATGGAAGCCACAAAAAAATAATCTTAAAATAACTTATAAAATAGGCCATAGTATAAGGTTGCGCTAGAATTTTTTGGTCAGTATATTGCAGCACGGCAAGTCTCAGATCCATTACTCACTGCAGTGCAAACACCGATCAAGAGAAAAACAAACATTTGTGCAGCCAAGCGTTGAAGATCCCTTATATATCGAAACGGCACCCTACTTTATTGAGCTGTAGAAATGCAGCAGATGTGTTCAGGATCTGATGGCTCTTTCAACCACAAAAAATGTAGCCCTAAATTGAAAAAAAAAATACATTTAAATTTGACACTAACAAGGCTAGAAGCAATAATTAAACACTATTTGGAAATAAAATCCTTTATGCGTTTGAATTAAATTAATGAGTGATTAGATTTTAATGGAGCGCTCCAATAAATTGAAACAAATTGAACATTTTTATTTTGAAATTTCGGTATTTTTGATTTATAAAGAATAGTGTAAACATAAAATTTAATAATTCGTCTAAGTTTCGTCAACAAATTGGCGATGATTACAGTGAAATTGACCAACACTGATTTTTTTTCTGTAGATGCAGAACTAAATTTGGATGGGTAAAATGGTCTAAAATAAGAAAAAAATTAAAATATTGAGTATTTTTTTATACTTATTATTGGATTTTGGAAAACAAGATGATTTCTCCTGAGCCCAGTGGATTCAGTCACTGTGTTGCTGCATGGCCCTTGAGATTTAGCTGGCCTGTCTGCTACCGCTGGCTGCCATTCCCGAGAGGAATAGATAATTAAAAAATTCACTGTTGAATATTTTCGTTCAAATTTTTTGCAAATTCGAATTTTTTTTTAATATACCGCTGCATTCATTACAAAAGATGCGACTTTTTAAATTTTTTAAAGTACAAACTGCAAGGAGACAAGATAATTTCCTGTTTATTGTTGAAAGCAGAAGAGTTTTAAATTCTGAAAGATTTTAAATTTTTTAAATAATACTTTCTGTTCATTCTATAGACATGATTTTTAACTTTATAAGATTTTTGTTCTTATTGATGAATTTTCTGGTCCACTCACCCCTTTTTGAAGTTAACACCCTGGACCTTTTTGCAAAACCTCATCAATCAAAATCAAAAGTTGTTTATCAGCACAAACAGACTATAAATAGCCGATAATTCTATATTAGTGGCTTTCCGCTCGAATTGGCCAATTGGAGACCAGTGCATAGGGCAGAGGTCAGGCCAAACTTAGTAAGTGCGTGTTTGGCAGTGGCGAAAAAGTAAAAATGCGAACTCGTCCTCGGTGCTCGGTCCGGGGCGGTCTCGGCACTTCAGGTCGATGTTTCCGAGGCTTCGCTCCGCCCCTGCGCTCGCTCCACTTACGCCCGCGTTGCCGCCCTTTTTGGCAACTTAGCAAGTGCTGGTGGAATTGAATTTTTATGTTCAAGTGCCTCCGAAGAGTAACATCGATTTAGTTTGAAATTTTATACTTTCACTAATAAAATATAGCAAACATTAACAATCATTAGCTTGAATTTTTTTTACGCACATGCAGAAATTATTTGTATTGGTTTAGTTAATAGAAAATCTCCACATTTACAAAGTGTTTTGAGGATCATCAAAAAGAAACATTTTAAAAGAGCAACTGACTGAAGTACAATAACCTCCCAAGGGAGACTTTTCAAAAACAATATAAGTAAAACGACGTAAATTACGTAAAATATCAAATGAAAAATGGTTGTTGAGAATCCTTTGTTTCAAATATCTCGCGTCTCGAAACGTAATTCCACGTAAAGGTGATAAGTCACAATTTACTAATGTAATGAAAACGGATGACATTTAAAAAAAAATGCAAATTTGTAAAATTATCAAATTAACCTTGCAGTAGAAAATCTTAAAAAGTCATTGTTTAAAAATATTTATTAATTATTATTTATTCTTAAAAAAAAATTACAGTTTATTATAAATGAAATCCAATTTAACAATTTTTTTATTATTTTTAATTATAAATTAAATTTTGTGAATTACATTCAATTAATTTTTTTATAATATGAAAATAATTCATTTTCAAACAAAATTTAATTGGTAATATAAATATAAAGTCCATTGCTTTCTCACAGCATTATTACTTCTCTACAAATTAGAAATATCAAATTGGGTATGTGCCCTTTTGAAGAATCTTTACTGCTTAACTGATCATTAATTACTTCAAAATATTGAATTTTTGGTTATTATCGATGTGACATACACCTTATAAAATATATGCAATAGCATGTAAAAAAAATAAAGCCTTTTTAATCCAATTGACGCAGTCAGATTAAAGAATTTCAAACTAAATTCTATAATCTAATCGTCTTATGAAACGGCAGTAAAAAATCAAAATCACCTTGATTTCATTTCCTGATTTTTATATTGCCTATTTGCTACACTTCATTACAAAGATTCATACTTGAGATGCCTTGCTGTGCTTCTCTGACGCATGCTTATAGAAGTTTCGTAATTTGATTTTCCACGTGGCTGGGCGACAGGAAAGAGCGCCCTATTTAATTAGTTCGGCGTAATTGCCGCTGAAAAGCTGCAGCAGGTGTATGAATTGCGCCAGGGTATATCCTTCAAAGCAGAGAGCAATAATAAATTGTGCGCTCTCGCGTCCCCCTTGTGCGCAAATAACAAGCGAAATAGCTTCTCTCGCCTCGTTAGTGTTTCCCTGGAGAAGGTGCTCATGCACGTTCATCGCCTCATTTCATGATGATCAAACTAATTTCCTTTTTAACTTCATGACGTCTCAAGAGCATGTACGCTTCGACGAAATTTTTGATGATGAAATAAAAGATCATAGTTTAATATTATTTTTAAGAGTTGTGTATTTATGACTTATTCCCAGCCAAAATTGGTATCTGGTCCTCCATGTACCTTTAAATATTTGAGAAATAACTGTTTTTTTTTTAAATAATATTATAGAAATAGAAAACTCATGAAGGCGCCTTACATAACTTTTGGGAATAATTTATCTGTGAAATAAAAATAGCCTGCTTTTCTTTTGTGCGTTTTCTTGTAAAAAAAGAAATTGAAATAAAAAGATTATTTATTATTTTTTGTGGAAAGCAGGTACGTCAACAATTTGGGCATTACCATTGGTTTCTAAATTTTAAAAAATGTGGATAATAAATTATTTAATAACAAACACCTTTTTTTTTTAAAAATTAATCGAAACCCAAAATCTTTATTTTTTACTCCTTTACTGCTTGTCAAAATTATTTTACTGTTGGGTTAGCCGTATTTCTTTTAGTACAGTGCCTATTCGTAGTTGTGAAAATGAAGTGAATGAATAAAAGAAGATAACAAAGATTGAGTTTAATAATTATCACGTAGCATGTAGCGAAAAATCTCGTTTAGCTAAAATGCTGACGGCGCATCTCAGTCGAGGGTCTCCCCCTTTTATCATCAATAATATATTTGAATCAATATCTGCGCTCAATGCATCACAATTAAGAAGAAATTAACTTAATTAACCGATCCAGCGTCTTCACCAAAGACCCACAAGTTTCCCACTGGAAGTGTTTCCCACTCGCGCCGTTTGGTGAGTGAAACAATCGAGCATCGCGCTGCGCTTGTTGACCAAAATTCGCGGCAACATTTTCCCTCCAAATATCAAAGCAAAATCGCAGCTGCTCCGCTCGCTCGATCGACGACCGCTCCAGAAAGAATTTCCTTCCAGAATCGTCTTCGAGTTTGCCGACGACGAGCCGAAAAGACTGCCGAACCATGGTCGCCGGATCTTTGAGTCGTATGTTTGTCCTAAAGCGAGGTAAACACATTCAAGTTCGATTTTGCTGTTTGGGGCCGGCTTCGCTTTTACCTTGCTTTGGTGACTGGAGACCCGCTGCTTTTGGCTCGTTTTGCTTTTTGCCGAGTGTTTGGTGACTCTGGCGAGTTTTTGCTCATTTTTATTAAATTATCCACAGATGGACGCAAAGAGGAGGTTCATTTTGACAAAATCACCTCTCGAATCCAGAAGCTCTGCTATGGACTCAACATGGAGTACGTCGACCCGGTAATTAGTAACGAAATTCTGCGTGTTTTGAGCACATTTTTCTGCCAAATTACGGAAATATTTGACTTGGCTTTGAAATTTTTGTAATTTTTTGCAAACGCCAATTCAAATTTGGCAACAATTTTGTGCTGCCTTTCCATACATAAAAATTTTCTTACGTAACAATTTCCAATATAATAAATATCTTACACTACGCTACAAGCAATTTAATGGGATGAGAAATTAAACTTATTATTTTATTAAATTAAAAGAAGTCAAACATCTTCAGTTTGTGTTTTTTTTTTATAAATTTTGCAATAAAAGATGTCAATGTTTATATTATTTTCCCTGATTTTCAATTAAATAAAATTTTAACGGCATTTAATAAAAAGGTTATCTTTAAACATTACTTAATATTACTTCAAAAAAAGTACTTTGTATTTATCAAAATTGTTCTATCATATTTTTAAAAAATTTTGAATTATGAAACATATTCACTATGCTGAAATGCCCTAAACGATTGCTAAGAAAATTTAAATTTTTTATGGCTCTGGTTGTTCCACTCTGCATTGCAAATTGTAAAGGAATAAAAACCGCTCTTTTGCAGCCTTCAATCACCCTCAAGGTCATCAATGGTCTGTACCCTGGAGTCACAACTGTGGAACTGGATAACCTTGCTGCCGAAACTGCAGCCACGTTGACCACCAAGCACCCTGATTATGCCATCTTGGCAGCTCGCATTGCCGTCTCCAATTTGCACAAGGAGACTAAAAAGACCTTCAGCGGTATGAAGATTTTTTTTAAATTAAAAACTTGTTCATAAGAATATTTAATTATTTCATTTTCATCTTGATAATAATTGTGGTGTAAAATTCAGAGGTCATGGATGATCTTCACAAGATGGTCAACAAGCACAATGGAAAGAAAACCCCTATGCTCTCCGACCTCCACCACAAGATCATCATGGAGAATGCTGATCGTCTGAACTCGAGCATCATTTACGACCGAGATTTCAGCTACAACTACTTTGGCTTCAAGGTTCAATATATTTTAACAGTTTTCAACTTTAAAGTTTTCTTTTATATTTTTCAGTTATGGTGTGAAACTATTTTTATCTTATATTTTATTTTAAAGAATATTTAAAGTAATGAAATGATAATTTGGTACAAGAATCTCTCATAAATAGAATTTTGGGATTGCTTTCAAATTTAGGAATGATTTAATTGGCATCGAAGATGAAAATCAACTTGTAGCCTCCATTTCCCTTGATTCTTTTGGGTATCAGAGCCATCAGTTTTTCAAATTCTCATTTCATTGTTGCAAAATTTCCTTAAAGTTATTTGCCGTAATTGGTCCAAATCAATTGATATTTTTATTAATTCTTAATTCTACAGTACAAATTAATCAAAGTGATTATGATTGTGTGGAATTTTAGACCCTTGAGCGTTCCTACTTGCTCCGCATTGACAACAAAGTGGCTGAGCGTCCGCAGCACATGCTGATGCGTGTGGCCGTCGGCATCCACGGCGAAGACATCGATGCAGCCATTCACACTTACAACCTGCTGTCCGAGCGTTTCTTCACACATGCCTCGCCCACGCTGTTCAACGCAGCCACCGTTAAACCGCAATTGTCCAGCTGCTTCCTGCTCACCATGAAGGATGACAGCATTGAAGGCATCTACGACACCCTGAAGCAGTGCGCCCTCATATCCAAATCGGCCGGCGGCATCGGCCTCAATGTCCACTGCATCAGGGCCTCTGGGTCGTATATCGCTGGCACCAATGGAATATCAAACGGACTTGTGCCCATGCTTCGAGTCTACAACAACACTGCGCGCTATGTCGACCAGGGAGGCAACAAGGTTGGAATATTTCATATGTTTGTTCAAAATATAAAATTTTTTTTGAAAGGTTGAAGAAAAGAAAGCAAGTTAAAGTTTAAGAATTCTGTTTTGTTTCCAAGAAAAATTATTATTATTGCCTTGTGTTTAAAATATTTCTTAGGATGTTTTTCAATTTCACCATTTTCTCTTCTAGATTAAATATATTTAAAATTGTGTTATTTTGTAACAGTAGAATTTAATTCGTAAATATAAACTCTCAAATCGTTATCTTTGAAATGATTAAAATAAATTTAAATTATTACAATTTGTTTCCTAACATTTTGATTATATCTCATTTTGAAATTAACTCACATATTTCTAACATAGACTTCAATTTAATTTTCTTATAATCTTTTGATGAGAGAAAAATATTAAAATACTTCAGTTATTACACCTATTACTTCTCTTCTTTTAGCGTCCTGGAGCATTTGCCATCTACCTCGAGCCATGGCACGCCGATGTCTTTGAGTTTCTTGACTTGAAAAAGAATACAGGCAAGGAAGAAGTCCGCGCCCGGGACCTTTTCTTTGCCCTGTGGATTCCTGACCTCTTCATGAAGCGCGTCGAGTCAAACGGAGACTGGTCTTTGATGTGCCCTCACGAGTCCCCTGGACTTGCCGACTGCTGGGGAGAGGAGTTTGAGAAGCTTTATGAAAAGTAAATTTTTCTTCATTAACTTAAATTTCAAATGAAATATGTTTATATAATTGTTTTAATTGAAATTTGGTAATTTAACTATGACCAATATTATCCTATTAGGTACGAGAATGAAGGGCGATTCAGGCGCAAGGTGAAGGCGCAGAAACTTTGGTATGCCATCATTGAGTCACAAGTTGAGACTGGAACCCCATACATGTTGTACAAGGATGCCTGCAACAGTAAGTCAAATCAGCAAAACCTGGGCACCATCAAGTGCAGCAATCTCTGCACCGAGATCGTGGAGTACAGCTCTCCTGACGAAGTAAATTAATGAAATTAATAAAAATCTTAAATTTAAATAATTTTTTTAAATAGATAGCTGTTTGCAACTTGGCCTCCATTGCCCTCAACATGTTTGTCAAGCCAGACCGCACCTACGATTTCCATAAGTTGAAGGAGGTGACCAAGACGGCCACCAAAAACCTCAACAAAATCATTGATGTCAATTACTACCCGGTACCCGAGGTATTTTGCTATAATTTGTGAATTGTGATTGTGATAATTAAAAAAAATCACATAGGCTGAGCGTTCAAACAAGAGGCATCGTCCAATTGGTCTTGGAGTGCAAGGCCTGGCCGACACTTTCATTCTGATGAGACTGCCCTTCGACACCCCCAAGGCTCGGGAACTGAATAAGCGAATCTTTGAGACCATCTACTTTGGAGCACTGGAAGCCAGCTGCGAACTGGCAAAGGATTTGGGGACTTACGAGACTTACGATGGTTGCCCTGTGAGCAAGGGAGTGAGTAGATATTTTTGTTATCATAAATTATAAAAAATATTTAAAAAAAGTTATTCTTCATAAATTATCTGTAAATGCTAAAACTTTTTTAAGCAAATTTTTTGTATCTTTAGATTTTGCAACACGACATGTGGGGAGTTGATCCCGGCAATGATCTCTGGAACTGGACTGAACTCCGTGAGAAAATCAAGCAGCACGGCCTCCGCAACTCCCTTCTCGTTGCTCCGATGCCCACAGCCTCAACCGCCCAGATTCTCGGCAACAACGAAAGCATTGAGCCTTACACTTCCAACATCTACACCCGCCGAGTGCTGTCCGGAGAGTTCCAGGTTGTCAACCACCACCTCCTGAGGGACCTCACTGAACGAGGCCTGTGGAACGATGAGATCAAGAGCACCATCATTGCCCACAATGGCTCCATTCAGGTAATCTATTCAAAATACACTAAAATGGAAAATCTTTTAACCACAAAAATTTTAGAATGTTGATGGCCTTCCTGAGGATCTGAAGGACTTGTACAGGACTGTGTGGGAAATCTCCCAGAAGAGCATTTTGGAGATGGCAGCTGACCGTGGTGCCTTCATTGATCAGAGCCAGTCCCTCAATGTTCACATTGCAGAGCCGAACTATGGAAAACTCACATCGATGCACTTCTTTGCTTGGAAGAATGTGAGATTTGCAACTTTTAAAGTTAAAAAGATATGCATTTGAAGATTTTAATGTGTTTTTAGATCATGAGTTATTCCTGAATATTTCCCTTTCTTTATGTGATCTAATTCTTTGAATTTTGTTGCTTATTTTAAATGATTCCATTATTTAATTTTAATGTGATTTTTTACCTTATTTTTAGGGCCTGAAAACTGGAATGTACTATCTGAGAACCAAGCCTGCTGCGAACGCCATCCAATTCACAGTGGACAAAAGCAAGATTCAGAACTCTGCGTCAAATGAGAATGGGCCGAAAGCAAGCAAAGAGGCAAGTGAGAAGGAACCGTCTGTTGAGAGCATCAACATGAAGGCCATGATGTGCTCCTTGGAGAACAGGGACGAGTGCATGATGTGTGGCTCGTAAGTCTGAAGCCAGCCATTTTCCGAAAATCTCTGAAAATTTCCCCCGTGATAAAAACAACCAAAACAAGTATTTTAGAATCTGCAATTTGGTAAGTTTTTTTTCTGTCAGATTTACTTGTGGACCAAATTTTTTTATGAACTCTCACGTCCACTTTATGAATGTGCTTAAATTTACAATAATTTTTAAACCCACGTTCCTCTTACGCTGTCAGACATTTTTCTCAATAGGTTTGTAATATTTTATTTCAATAAAAAAACGCAAACAAATCCAAAAGTCATGAATTTTCAGCTGCAAATCCTTACGAAGGTTGAGCGTGAATTATTATGCACTTGTTTTCGGCTCTGAGAAAAAAACGAGAAGCGCGACTGGTCCTGCCTGCTCTCTTGGCCAGCATTTTTTACTGAATGAATTATTGAGTGGTTGTTCGTTGCTAAATCTTATTTTAATGGTGTGGGAACGCTCATTCTTATCAGGAATTTTGCCGGCTGGATGCCGGTGGCATACAAATAAGCACCTGTGGTCTCGGTTTTTTCATCTCTTGCCAGGTTGGGTTTCGCCAGAAAGGGAGTCGCAAAATCGGCTACTCTTCCGAATGGTGCTGCTTTTCTTGCCTGCTCTGGCTTGCGTATTAGCTGCAGACCTAGGACACTATTTTATTGATTGGATTGCCTTGCCGGCGCAAAAAGACGATTGTCCTATTTGAAGAGAGACGACTCCTTTTTGCGCGTGAGAGCAACTTCTTGCTTTCGAGGAGTGGCAAAGCAAGGCACAAACTGGATACCGCGAGATGTAAACTTGATGTGTCCGATTTGCTGATGTCATTGCACTTTTCACTTGATAGCATTACTGACTTTGAGACACGCTTCAAGTTGCAAATACGTAAACTCAAACTACAAAAATTTTCAACAAAATTGTTTAAAATCAATTTTAATTAGTAATTAGTCTTCATTTTTTGCATTCATTTTTAAGAATTTTACTCGTTAAAATTTTAAGAGATTCCGGTTATGAACTTGTTTAAATTTTGAAAGAGCTCATTAACTAGCTAGCTATGCTCCAAAACTTGATTTTTAGAAGGTTATTCCATATTTGTATTTGTAGAGAGCTTGAATATAGTTTCATTTAGAAAATTTTATAAACCCTGTTGAAGAACAAATTAATTTCTCTTGATTTTAACTGGTTAGGAGCTTATTAAAAATAAAAACTGATGAATCATGCGGCTCAAAGTACAGTGCAGTAACAATAGTTGATCCTGTAACGGCGATCAAAATTTTTGATATTGTGTTTTTTGATCTAAAAAGAATCAAAATTATTGGACTTTTTATAATTTTCAATTAATTTTGAGGAATATTCCACGAATAATTACAAATTTATCTTTTTCCTATATCTTTTTTCAAGATTTTTTGTTTTAGTTTTATACTGAATAAAAAATTATTTTAAATTCAAATTGAAATAATACTGAACGCTTAAATTTTAATAAAAATTTGATCAGTTTTGGTTTGATTTAAGCTGAAAATTATTTCCAACTCAACTGTTTTCATTTCAAATTATTTGCATCAGTCCATTTGGAATGTTTTTTTTCCAAAGGAAGATTAAATGACAGAGGAGGAAGTAAGTCCTCGGCGCTAATAATAACTCGCGCGTGTTTGGCGCCGAGAACGAGCAAATCAAGTGTGACATTGACACAATTGCGTGTAGGATCGCGACGTGATTTAGATCATCTCACGCTGATGCGGCAGACACGCGGAGAAAACACACTTGAAAGGGTTAAGGTTTTTGGCCGTGCTGCTATGGAGGTCAGGAACTTGATACCGCGAGAGGAGCGCGGCACAAAGAAACACACACAACACACAAGCCTATCTAATGATAGTGCTGATAATGTGGCCAGAAATGAAGCCATTACGGTTCGCACACCATCGAGCTTTTTGCACGCAAAACGCAGCAATTTTCTTGTCCAACTAAGAGAGAAAAGGAAATATTTTTTTAAACAGTTAAAGTTTTGATATTTTTTTTTACCAACTTTTTAATATTTGCACTCAAAACATATATTGTTAAAGCAATAGTTTTTCGCATTTGATTGAATGTACAGGAGTAAAGGAAGCGTTGGGTATATTGTCCAAATTTTGGATGCATATAAAAATCTTACAAATTCACGACAATGTATACATTTACAAAAATTGGCTCTCACACATAAAGTGCAAGTCACGAATGCAGCGGCAGCAGACGCGGCAAAAAAGCGCGCATAAATCAACAAAGCGGGCAGGATTCCTTTGAAACACATTAGCGACATACTGATCCACTAATCAACACTGGCTGCACAAAAAAAGAGTAAATCAGATGTCCGTACATGGTGCACTCACTCACACATATATCAAAGCAAGAAAGTTGATGAATGAGTGAGTGAGACTGGCTGCGTTTCTCCGTCGATCTGAACATGAATGAGCCGCGCTGCTCCTTGCGGATGAGTACACTTTTTTTATTTTGCAAGAGAGGAATGCGAAAAGAAAACGCGCGGAAACTTCAGCTAGACATAACACACATTGCTTACTGTAAATTTAACTACAACAATCTTGTGTTCGTCAGTTACAAGTTTGTGTTACTTTTCCTAAAAAAAATAAAAAATAAAATAGCACTGACTATAGGTTGAGAAATGCGGTAACTTTTTACAAGAAGTCGGGCGTTCCTAAATGTTTGTATGATTTTTTTCCTAACAATAAACGAATATTTCATTATGTATTTGAAAAATCTTTGGAGAACAAAGATTTATGAGCCTCTTAAGCTATGAACCAACTCCGAGAGGGTGGTTTATAGAATAATATAATTGTAATAACTTAATTGAGAAAATGATTATTGTGAGGTGAACACAGAAGGGAAGAATGCAACGACCCTGCGGACGCACTGATTCCAAAGATATTCAAGCCAGTTAAATATCAAACTTATAAGCTGAATGTGTGTCTTTTGTTCAAGAGTCACTAAATCTAATTGTCTGCACAAAAAACTATAAGAAAGTCTTGAGGAAGGAGTTGATTAGCCTTCTTTTCCGCCGCCGCCTCTTCTGCCTCCGACTCGACTCGCTGACTGCGTTTGGATTTGCGGGCTTTCCGGCCCCATAAGTCTTCACTTTGGAGTGTCCTTCGATTATCAGGTACATCGGCCCCTGCAGGGGTTCGGAGGGTTGTTTGTAGTGCGCGAAAAGCGGGTCGGTGGTCAGGGAGGCGGACGTAGTGTACGCGGTGGTAGGTCTTGCCGTCGGAGGGGGTGTGGGGGAGGAAGTAGTGAACCTGGGCGCGTTGGGGGTGAGGAAAACTGGCGACGGAGGGGTGGTCGTGCTGGTCTGGTAGCTCCAGGTGGGTATAAGGGTGGTGGTCGTGGCCTCTGTGGGGGTAGGGGTGGTGAAAGAAGGACGAGGAGGAGGGGGTCTGTAAGGGGGACGGGTGAACAAAGGTCGGGAAGGGGTTGGCTGCTTGTAGGGAGATGAAGGTGGTAGGTTGAACTTGGGCCCGTCGACCAGGGTCAGAAAAGGGTGATTGTCTCGCCTGTCGGCCGCGTTGCTTCCGTCGTTGTACTGAGAGGTTGGGGGTGGAGGTCGCGGGGGGCGGCCGTACAAAGGTCGTTGGGGCGCCGCACTAGAAGGGGTTTGCTGCTTTTTGGGGGCACTCGGCTCGATCCAGTAGCGCACCCGTTCCAATACCGGTGGCACGTAGTCATACGTGGGGTCGTTTTTCAAAGGGTCGCCGTGCCCCAGCGGCGTCCACTCGTCGTACTCCACCCTTGGAGCAAACAGACCACGATTTTCTCTCCCGTGGTGGTCTGCAAAACGAGGAGCAAACGCGAAGGCAAGAACGGCGATGAGTGGACAGAAAAGGGCAAGGAGTGGAAAACCTTTCACCAATAAATACGTAAGTATGTTTATTGTGAGTTCGTGTGTGGTGTGAATAATTGCACAAGCCATATTATTACCATGTAACATGTCTAGGTTCTAATCATAACAAACTCTGAGGAGGCACGTGTTTATAATTTGCACTCGTGTTATAATCAAAAGGTGTGAATTTAAAAAAAGTGTATTATTTGATATGATAATTACCACGTGCATGCAAATCAGGAGCAATGACCAAACTCAGGTGTCATGATTTGAGTATTCTTTATTTCAATTGTGTATAACCTGGTCATCTACTTAATCTTCATAAGTCTTACTAAACAAATTAAAATAAACCATATTTATAAAAAAAGTCGTCTTTTATTTCTCAAATAAATTTATGACACTTTCTTAATTGATAATTTAAAAACAAATCAAGATATTTCTTATAGAATCAGAAAAAGGAGAGTTTGTTAAAAAAAGGTAAAAAATATAAATTTCTATGTTTTAGACTTAAATTTTGCAATTTTTCAAAACTATTTATATATTAGGAAAAAAATAAAAATAGGAAACACCAGCCTCAGGGGACTTATTTGGTATTAACAAAAATTTTTTATTATAAAACACGTGATTTTAGGTGAATCCGAAACTCCTCCAAACAATTTATAAAATGGAATTAAGACTAAGACCGTATTATAAATCATGAACCCTTAGAAATAATGTTTATTTTTTAATTATGCTCTAGAATGACTTTTTGTGCATATTTTAATTACTTTATGTGTGTTTAAAATTAATCCTCACCTTCTTTGTCCGAATCTGTCCCACCTTTGTCAGGTCCATTGACCGTCATCGCAAGTCCAACGCCCCAAATGGCGAATATCACCACCAGCCGGGATTTAAATGGCACTGTCATTTCGTTTTTAGGACCTCTTGTCGTGTGTCTGCGAACTGAAATGATTAATTCCAAAAATTAATAATCCGAAGGTACCGTTAAGTAAAAACAAACTTGTTAACATATTTTATAAAAATATTTAGGTCCACAGCTGGCTTTTGCGGTATATTTCCAGCTTAGATAGGACCACGTGTCCTAATACGAGTTAGAGCTGACATTATAGTGTGTGGAGATAAAATCAGCCTTATGCGAAAAAGCTGTGCGCGAGAGTCAACTATCACTCTTGGTGCCCCACAAGGCCCGCAGGGATGAAACAGTGAAACAGCAAAAGTAGTTCCTTTCAGAAACCAGCGCGGCCTCTTTCATCCTCATTAACACAATACAAAGTGTGTGTATGTACGCGTGTATATATAAAATATCTTCTATCGCAGAAGTGAATAAGGAAGTTGTCTTGGTCTCAATTACGCACGCACTTTATAATGTAAGAACTGCAGGCAGGAATTCGCAAAGATGAAGTTGGCGTTTTTCGCTGAGAGATTTGTGTTGGGCGTGTGTGTGTCTGTGTGTATATTCAATACTCTGCCAAATTAATCATACTGGCTGCATGTGACTTGTGTGGTCAGGTGGGGTCCGTTATGATCAATTCTTTTGTTTAAATGCAGCCCGCAGCAGGAGGATTTCGCGAATCGTTGATGCCGAAATAATTGTGGCACGTGAAAAAAGCGGCCGCGCTTCACGACTCAAGAAAAATTTATTTATTAAATCTCAGGAAAATCGCAATGACTTAAAGTTTTTAAATTTTTTTAAATGAAGAATTGAATAAATTTAATGCAGAAGTTTATGAAATACCAAAATTATGCGGGAGCAGACATTTTATTTGTTATTTTCAAACCAAATAGTTCACTTGTGAAGAATATCCAATTTAATATTTTTGCTCTGAAAATCGACTAGAATTTTTGCAAGTCAGGAGAAAATAATCCACTTCATTTGCTGCCAATTTTCTCCACGCCTCGATATTATTATCGCTTTCTGCTTTTTAAACGGGAAAATTACGAAAATTACTCGTAATTTGGGAACAGTTTATTTTTTCGCAAGCTGTGGTCAATTCCTCTCTTGGCGTCGTTTAGAGGAAAACACTCGCCGCACGTTCAGGTGGTCTGCGAAAACTCACTTTCAGGCAACTTCATCAGCCCATTCATTATATGAAAATTAGCATCTGTGCTCGTGGGAAAAGTCGGCGCGCGGGCGCGGCATCATTTTTAAGACCAGACCTGCTCATCACTCACTCATGGTCTGCCGCTATAATAAAAGATTTGCGCACCCAAGCTTATGCAAATCGCTCGCTAAAATTCGAGCACCGAAATTGTAATAATTACAGACCACAACTGACCGCCTTAATTTGCTCGTAAATTTTTACTACGTTTAAAAAGGCGTGTTTTAATATACTTATATTTTAATCATTTTTATCTCATAATTTTAAATTTATGTTTATCTGGATTTTAGTATTTTCAATGTTTAATATCAAGCTAGGCACTTAATATGTCTATACATTTCTATAGTTAAAAATTAAAGCTAAATTTTTATCCTTTTATTTATTTTCTTATTTATATACCAAGTGAAATTCTACGTTTAATAAAAATTTTGCCTTCGTAAAATCAAGGTCTTCTTTTTTTTAACTAAATTAAAAACATGTCAACTACACTAATAAAGTTATAATATTGGTAAAACTGACTGTAATGTTATAAATTTGAATAATAATTCTTAAAAATTGACTTAAAGAGCCATAGCTATACCATAATATGAGTTAAAAATGAGCGAACCGATTTGCAAGAAGAAAGCGAGAAAGCGATTTGTTTGTGCGAAACATTAATTGGTTGGGATTAAAACTGTTCCTCCTGCGTGGCCGCCGCACCTGAGCAATATTTTAATTTACGATCGAGGCCAGCCAATAAAGTATCCTCGAGCCATTCCTCCCTACACACGCTCGAGCAAAGCGCTAATTGCACATAATACTCAAACTACTTTACTACTGGTATTTCAAGCAGCACTCTTTCTCAAAAGACAGACAGCGTGACGCTGTAGGAATCCCAACGTCTGAGTTGTGAATCGCGTGTATGCAAATTCAAAGAAAAAAGAAGCCAAGCTTAGGAAGATCAAAAGGTTTCTGATTGCCAAAGTTAAAAATATAATTGCTAAACACGCACAAATTCACTGTTTTTTAATAATGAACTCTGCTGATTTCAGCTTCCTTTCCAAATTTAATCTGATAATTAATATCAAATGGTATACAAATTTTATACAAATATATGTTAAATCCTGCTATACTGGCTTAAAGGTGAAGCGCCAGATGTGAAGGACTGAAGTTGAAGGGCTGGTTGTTGAGGGCAAATTGTAAAGGGCCAAAGGTTAAAGGCCAAAGGTGAAGGGCGAAGGGCTGATAGCAGATAAATAGTGAAGGGCCAAGTGAGGGTCAAACGGCGAGGAGCTAAAATTAAATTTCGAGCCTTTTATTGAGTGAGTTACCAGCTAGAAAATGAAATCCTTTTATCCTCGTACAATTTGTAGGGCTTATTGTTAGAATTTCTTGGAAATAAAAATTAGCTTGGGTCAACCTGTATGTTTTTTGATACATACTTATTGAAAGCATCGCAACCTTTAATGGCGAAATTGTGTAAATATGCAAATTTCCGTCGTTTCCTCTCTCTAGGGCATGTACACCTCTGTATGATTTGCGTGTTCGCCTCTCGTGTTATTTATTTCTCTCTGTGATTCGCGCGGCCCTTTCACTTGTTCTCACACTGTTCGTACGCCGCGAGAGTCTTGAGTCGAAAAGAAGACGCTTTTGTCATGGTGTATACTCTATCGTGATGTAGGTCTAGTGAATTAGCCATTGCCTCCTAACAAACATACACGTGGTTACAACGGTACCCCGTTAGTGATCAAATTGAGAAGGGAAAAATCATTTAATAAAAATAATTCATGTATTAATTTGTGCAGGAAGCAGCATATTAAATTAAATTATTTCAAAAGTTATAACTTATCCAGTTTTATTTGGTGAAAACAGAGTCAAGTCAAGAGAATAAGCTGCAAATAAAGAAATGAAGCAATTGCAGCTTCTTTTTAACTTGAAATTTGAAGGCATAATTAATAATATTAAAATATTTTAATTCTATCAGTATAATAAATTTGGAAATTGCAGGCATCCCGCCCTCATTCACATGCAGGCAGAGAGTGCAGTTAAAGGCGGACCAGCGAGCAAAAGAGAAGATTAACTGTTCTCATGTATATTCGGAGCCAACGGGCGAATTGAGTTCGATCTCAATGAAAAGCTTATCACAAAAAAAAAAAATATTATATCGCTCAGGCTTTCTTCTTTGTTGTTCATCCGAAACTTTATTCTAGAGCCTCGCCTCGCCGCGTGACGTCACTGTTTTCCAAAAAAGCACACACAGTTTGAGGATAATGGTTGAAAGCGAGACCGAGTCCGATATAATGAGAGGAAGCGAAAAAAGTCGCAAGTAGTTTTTCGTGCAATTTTCTTTCCCGCAGAGAAAAGTGAATCACGAGGAGGAACGAGAAAGGCGAGTAAGTGGAGCAAACTAATTCACTTGCACTTAATTTACTTTAAGAGCTACAGTTTCCTCGGCGCACTCATCATTGAGTACACATATAAAGGGTTTTCTATTTAATAAAAACAAATTTTGCCTATCGGCGTTTCAGCTCGGCAGCACTAAATATTCCCCGTCTTGTTTTTATGAAGCGTCCTCACAAATGCGTAACACAATTTACGGAAGGAGAATGCTTGAATTTTTAAAGATTTACTTAAATTGACTTTAGTTTAAATATTTTTATATGAATTAAATATTAAATCGTGGTGAAAGTGAAGTGGGTGACAAATTATATGCTGATTTGATAAATATAAAATTAAAATAAATTAGTCATGAAGATTTTACTGTATGCTGAAAATTTTGTAAAATTAAATTCTTGCAAAACTGTTAATAATTTAATTTTTTAATTAAATGTAGAAATAAATAATACAAAATATATCATCGAATAAATCAATAATAATATTAATAATACATTTTGTTCTTAATAAATTTCAGTTTCAGATATTCACGTGAATCTATTTGAAAATTATACCCAGAACTATATTAACGACATAGTCGGACAGAATCAAAACAGTTTCAATTGCAGTAATTTTAACAAAGTTTAATTTTTTGTTAATTAATTACTATTTTTTTTCTTCTCCCTATGCTATAATATCTATATAATATAAGGTAAATTTGTAAAATATCTCAATTATAATTTCTTTAATTTGCAGGTCGGCGGTTGTTTTGGCCATATATTTCAGAACGAATGAGAATAAACCATCATACTGGCGACTTTATCCGTTTTTACGATTCCACTTTTGAAACTAACAGTCTGCTAACAGTTATATTTGAAAAATATAAAATGTTTCAAAATGGCTCTCCGTCGGCCACCCACAGCCCCACACAAGACTCTCTCCATCTCATAAAACGAAACGATCTTTGGTGTGACAGACGGCCAGAGTGTTTTTGGAGCAGCGGAGTGCGAGAAAAGGGCCAACAAGAATTTTATTACTTTCTTTCGCGCGCAGGAGAGGCGAGAAACTACTGCCGCGCAACACAAATATATTCGCAACAATGACCGCGTCGGCGCCATTAAGGCAATTCGCATTAAGTGCATCTCATTTCTCACGCTTGAAGTAACGTATGTAGTACATTTTGGCTGCTGTTGTCGAGCAGGGGTCAAAGTCGGGGTCACACTGGCAGATCGTGAATCGGTAATGTTGTTATTGCCTCTCAATCGCGCGGTCTGACATAATAAGAGGTTTGAGCGCCGCCAACCGACGCCTCCGGTCTCATTCTTTTCTCTCTTTCGCCCTCGCAAGGGAACATCGCCAATTTTATACATGAATCGGCAAAGAAAGATGAGCCAAACAAGGAACTTCCTAAATATCGTCTACTGAATTAAGGGACAAAGTCATATTTTAAACTTCATTATTTTTAAATTGATTGATTTCAGGTGAGCTGCAAATTTGTTGAAAAAATTGCAAGATGTATGTAGCTATATTAAAAAATTAATTTAAGTTAACTTTAGTTTTATAATTAAACTGGCTGAATAATTAAAGCATTTTTAAAATTATTCAAACATGATGACAAAATTGTATGTCTAAAAAATACAAAGAAAAATTAAAACTAAATAAATGAAATTCAAGAATTTTACCAATTATAATAATTATTTAATACAATATATCTAATTTATTTTCTATTTTCAAAACGCGCCTACTACTTTTTTTCAATTTATAATTCAATTTTATTTTGTTTTGGTGGTTTCGCGGATTTCATTAATTTAGATTTCAAAGTAATTTATATTTGTGTCTCTGGGCTTTGTCTGCCTAAAAAATCATTCAGGAACATAGGTTAAATACGACTAGCGAGAGGTTTATACCTCCACTTGTTAATCAATTTCCACATTTTATCAAAATCGGTTACCGAGGATTGGCAGCGTTCCCTTGTCGGAGATGCTCAATCAAAACTCTCGCTCGTTTGTGTCAACAAAATTAGCAAGATCTGATTTTTGGCGAGGAGATTTCAACGCCTGCGTGAGTGATGATGCATGGCCGCGTGCGTTGTAATGCATGAAACACGACTTTCTTTCTTTCTTTGGCGAATTAAAAGTGTGTGAGAGACGGTCGCGACTGACGCAAATAGCCGGCGTGATTGACGCGTGGATTCGAGATGCGAAATTTATAGTAATTGTTGCCGGTGCTATTTGGCTGATTTAAGTATAGTCCTAGCCAAAGCCTAGAAGTTTCTACTTATATAGTTAAAATTTCAGCACGAATTTTTGATTTTAAATAGCACTTTTCTTCTCGCATTTTTTTTTTAATTTTTAGGCAAAAACGAAGTTTGATGTTCAAATTTAATACTTGTAATTATCAACTAATTTGAACATCCCCGATTAGTTGACTTTAAGGTACTTATTGAGTGGATGATGGTTTTTTATATTGGACGTTTCAATAAAAAATCCTTGCTGTTTTTTCCAACAAAAATTTAAATTCTTTCAGATAATTGTCTGTTTTTAGTGTTTTTAATTGAATTTTAACAATGTAAGCAAATAACCAACAGTAATTATACTTTTGAGTCTGAATGCTATTAACTTCCTCTATTATAATAAATGTGTATAAATAAACCAAGTTTAAAAAAAAAAATATTTAATTTTCATTAATGCTTTGAAAACACATGATTATAAAAGATATGGAGAGCAATTTCAACGTGGAATCCTAGAACGGAGTCATAGAAAATAAAGTTTTTAAACGAATTGAAATGAAAAATTAAAATCTCTACTCTCCAAACAGAAAGTTCAAAATTCATTCTGTTTTCAGCAAATTTATTTTTTGTTAAAAAAATGAAGACGCCATAAATTAAAAATTATCTTATCCCACTTATTAAAATAACATTAATATTTAAATAAAAAAAATTTAAAATTTTTATTTTCATAGGTTCAAGAAATAATATTGAATTTATGTTTCCTCAATAAAAAATTCCAAGTTACAAATAAACTAGAAAATTTAAATCGTCGTCATTATTTATTTTCAAATAATTTTGGAGACATAGAAAATCTTCAATATGAGAACTTACTTGTGCAAACCAAATTAGCTCCGAGAAGCGCTTCTTGTTTCGATCTCAGTCAGGAGTAGTAATTTCCTGTGGGGGTTGCGAGGAGCATGTCCTCCCGCGTGGTCAGTGGTGCTGCATGTGAACCTTCTACGCGAGCGAGCGAGTGCTAACTAACTAACTAGCTAACTAACTAAGGTGAGCCGACCCACTCAGCCGCCTCACGAATGCGGGTCACCAGACTCAAGCCAGCAGCGTCTGCCGTGTTGTTTGTTAGGGCCTCCTCTCCCCTCTCCCACTATTATACAATCATCTCTCTGCGCGGATAATATAATATCGCGGGCTCATTATCTCCTGCCGATCGAGCGAGATGCACAAACCGCACACATCAAGAGTTCGCCGCCGGTAGCGATCACAAAAGCGGGCAAATCGTTCTTTGTGTCGCTTCCCTGGGCCAATCTCGCGGCGAACCCAAAAACACCCGAGAAGCCGAAAAGCACATGATTATTATTAATTGTGATTTCATTTCTAAATCTTTTGAGAAAAATCTTGATTGTTGGCATCTAAATTAAATTCACCTATTCAAAATATGCACATTCATGAGGATATATTTGGCTTTTATAACTCTCAAAATTTTATGTTAAAAGGATTAATAAATCTTTACAATAATAGAATCAAATTTTTGCAATTTTTTTTATTAAAAAGTATGACCAATATAAGCAATTATTATTGAACAGATATAGGAACAAATCAATTGATTTAAAATATTTTATTTATTTTACTAAATTACGAATTGTAAGGTTGCAATATACCAAACTAAACTTCCTCTTACTTTTCTTATAAGAAATTTTATTTTATTAGTTTTCTGGACGATACTGAAAGCGAGTTTAAATTTACAAAAAATTTCCATTCTATTGCTTTCAAAAAAAGAAAAATTCATTCAAACCCGTTCCTTTAATTTCCTATAATTTTGAAGCGAAATAATTTAAATTTAATGTAGTCTGAATTAATTGTTATCAATACCAATGTCATTTTTATGTATGCAATTGTCACGTCAAAGTTTTTAGCTGCTTCTGTACCATAAGTGGTTTTTAGAAAATATTAACTACATTTTCTTTTACATTCCCAGCATATTTTTCTACTGATTTTAAAATTGTTTGCTTGTGCAATGAAATAAATATATCAATTTTGTTCTTGTAAAATTTGCTTTTTCTGGTGCTCATCACGTACTTTTCGGAAATCTTCAAGTTTCCCCATTCGGAGCCAAATGCAAATTTTCGTTCCTTATTTGTCCCTTCCTGTGATCCATTTTACGAACGTGGTGCTTTGACTGAAAATGTTTAAAATGCACGCAGTGGTGCGTCTCGGCGTCTCTCATCGTGTGACGAGCGAGTGAATGAATTGAGGAAGAGCAGTATTTATGTCACTATTACAAATCAGACGGCCGATCACTTATAGTGTAATTACTTTCATGGTCGGCGATTCAATAAAGCTATCACTCGCGCGAGCATCATCGCCATTTAATGCGCCATAAATATAAATACTCTGTTGAGAGAGGAGCAGCCGATTGTTGTTTCTGCGTGCATCACACACATACAGAATTCTAGGTTAAACCGCATCGTTCTCTCCATCATTATCTTAATCAGGCATTCGCTTTTTAATAAATTTAAACGCTCCCGTTTGTGTCATCCGAGTAGCCAAGTGCAGAAGAAATTTTTTCCAATAGATTTGCTTGATTAAATGGATAAATAATATCAAAATGATATGTTCAGTCAAGCGACATAAAAAGATCAGTTTTCTCAAGGAAACATGCACAGGAGTTGATTATTTTTTAGCATTAATCTATTATCAAATCCCTCCATGAATATAAGGAAGCATGGTTTAACAAAAATTGCACCCTAACTAATATTTGATATTAACATTTAAAATTTTTTGATTATTATTCTATTATGTTAGTGAAGCTCTTTTTTGTTTAGCAACAAGATTGAGTTTCCTGATAAAAAGTGATCTCGAAACGAGAGACGAGCCCCCACACGATCGGTCAGCACGCCGAAGGACCACAGCGAGAGCGGTGCGCCCACTGTACATATATTAATTTGCATATTATTCCTCGTCATCGTGTGGGGGTGCGTGCAAAATTAAATTAAGCAGCCACCCACGTACTCCCTGAATCTCGCGGGTCAACGTCCTTCTCGGCGTGGTGCACCTTTTTGTCTGGACTGGAGACGCATTTGAGAAGCTGGAACACATAAAATTATAATTTATAATAAAAAAAAATATAGTGTCTAGCAAACATGAGTCGCCGGAGTAAGAGTGCCCGACCGACCAGATCCTGTTTTCTGCCATATCGCAGACTAATAAATATAACGCACGCAACACACCACTTGCCCTTTTGCATTGCATAAATTTCATCTGAAACAATCTGTATTTTTATTCCCTCTACATTTTGATAAAAAAAAATCTTTCAGAGATTACATATTTTATCCTATTATAAACAGTTTACAAAAATGCCTTACTTTTTCTTTTCATACATAATATATTTTTTTTGCATCTTTATTAAAATTTTAAGGGTAGGCTTGATAAAATTGATTGTTTTGAGTCATTTTACTTTGTTTCCAAATTATTTGAAGACTAAAATGAGGTTTTTGGGACTTCCATCTTCAGGCACTGATTTATGCATTTGCTTTTTATCATATCTGGGGTCTACCTAGGATTTTCAAAATAAAAATCAAACTTGAAGGTTTTTAAATGAAAAAAAAGGACTTTTTATCAGTTTCACAATTTGAACCGCAAATTATCTTCAACAGATTAATTTACTTGGCAGAAAAATTAACGATCTTTTTATACAAGAGGTTAATTATAGCTTTAGAAGGAAAAAGCCAAGACCTTTCTTTTTAGGCGTGAAATTTGATAATGCGAATTTCTTGTGGGCCGGAGACAAAAAGTGCGAAATCACGGAATCAGCAGAGAAACCTGTGGCTTTCTGTTTGGCAAAAGGCGTGATTTACCCACAACACATACTGCAGTGTCGTGTCTTCTCTGCTGGTCGCGCGTTTTCTTTTCATCCTTTGTCGGAGCTGCACTTCATCATCGCCGCGTGCACAAGCCAACTAGGTCACATAATATAATGCAGGAATTTGCTCGCGTACACTTCCTCCAGCCTCGCCGCGCGCTGCACTCATTCATAATTATTAAATTCTATAATCCTCTCGGCAATGCGGGCTTTTTTCTCATAAAATACACACGCGCTGAATTTCCATTCGTATCTTTTTGCATTTTCACACTACTGAAATGTTTCGGAAGATGAATAAATAAAAACTTAATCCAAAAACACGTGAGAAGTAAATCTGCAACTAAATTATTATTTTTTAAAAGGTTTTAGAGACCATTTAACCTTCTCTCTGTTCTCTAGAAAAAGCTGTGTATCAATCGATATATTGGAGAATGAATAAATATTAAAATCAAATACAATGATAAACTGACTTTTGGAGAAATGAATAGCTAATTGTAAGTAAGCTTCTATTTTGGAAGACCGAGGAGGTGCCTTTTAAGGGAAATCTCAGACCAATGTTATCAATTAAGGCTGCGAAATTTAGGTGGTTGATTCATTTTTCTGAGCTTCCATATAACCATCATATTTCATGAAGAACGCCCACCTCAAATTTTCAAAACAAAATAGTCTCTTTTAATAATTGATATATGCTTTCTTAAAAATACTACGAATTATTATGTTAGGCAAGTATATGCCCTTATATCGATCCCAAAACTCAAGAAAATTAGTTAAAAACTGAAATCGAGAATACTTTTTTGTGCTTTTTATAAAATAACAAATTAATTTTATTTATTAAACCTTAAAAAAATTAAAAGAGTTCTATTTAATATTTTGCATCATATTTAATTAAATAATTGTTTTAATTTTTTTTAAACTTAAAAAAATATTATTTTGAAAGAATAAATCATCATTTTTTAATTGCAATTCAGATTTTATTTAAATGTATTTTTAGGGCTGGCAATAAATGGAAATAGCAATCTGCTTCAAGTTTCTGTATTTATTATTATTTGAAAAATATACAACAGAACATTTTAACCCTGAAATATTTTCGTACGAAAATAACTGTAAGCAGGAATAAAATTTTAATTGAACTTGTGCAAAAATTTTCATCACTTTAATTATGTTGTTTACTAGAGCTGGCTGCCAATTATCTCCCAATGTGATTTTTAATTTTAGTTTGACTTGTTGCGAGAGAATAGATGAATTGAATTGAATTATTTAACTTCAGTGTACGCCAAAAATTTGAAAAAAAGTTAGCGCGTTAAAAACTTATTGCGAAAGGGAATTTCTGCAGCGATGACTCTTCTTTGCCTATATTTGTCTGCTCCTTGAGTTTTTTGTGGCCACAGCATCTCTGTGAATGACAATACATCACGTCTGGTCCGGTTAACGGTTTTCATTTCCTGTCCGCGGCGTTCCCCAGAAAATCCTGATCAGCACATCCTCCCTCGCAGCTCATATCTCAATTGCGTGTTACGCAATTCAGAAATTTTGAGATTCTGAAAAGAATAAATATTAAAAATTAATTATCAGTGAAAATATTTGCGTTCAAATTTTGTTGGCAAATTTTCCCATGGTTTTAAAGACCGTACGTTGTGCGTCGAGCATAACCTGATTTAAAGAGGTGCATGCAGTTTTCAATTTGCAAGTTAAAATTAAACGTGGCGGAAAAAAACTGGATTGAGATAGTGGTCCAATAAATTTTTGGTTAGTCACAATGAGCAAGAGGTTCGACCAGCTGAAGCACAATTACAACTTCATCCACTTAGCGTTTTTTTGTTTATCCTGGCGTCTTTTTCTCTTTTTCACAGAAGCGATTGGGAAAAAAGGCGGCCGTTCGGCTGCGATTTTGAGAATCTCCTTCCCTTCAGAGAGAGAAAGAAAGAAGTGCATGGATGCATGCTAATTGAATTAATGAATGACGCCGAGGAAAATTTAAATGAAAATAATTTTGAAGTAGGCAGGCCACACACGCGCTTTACTTCTCTCTCATTTTTTACTCCGCCGATTTTCGAAGGAGAATTATTTTTCACTCTCGTAATTTATGCGCCGCGACTCTGGTCTATTAGCATAACTGCACTCGCTGCATCAATGAAAAGGATGGATGGCCATTCCTCTGGGTAAACAATAATTTCATCTGTTTATGCGTGCCCTGCCGCCGATGCATTTTTACTCGGCGCATAGAGCCCAAGGTGTCCGACCTCCGACCTCATTTACCATCCGCGGGAATTGAGGTTATCGCCGAGAAAAATTATGGGCCCGCGTTGGGACGCGACGGATCGTATGTCTTTGGTGTGTTTTTTGTGCGAAGTTGACAGTATTTTATATGTTTAGCTGCCCTTTTTATTAAGCGAACGATTAATAAGGAAGACATGTATCCTTATAAAAATATCTCCTATTACAAATTGTGTGGAATTGAAATAGACAATACCGACGTATAGAGTCTCAAAATAGTGTGTAGATACATGATACCTGATACCATATTAAAATATTTGATAATTCGTTATTAGTGTTTAAATTGTGCAATGCAAACAATTTTAAGCTACGTCCTTTTTTTAACTACCAGATTCACATCGAAGATTTTTTAAGAAAAAAATATATTATTATATAAACTATTCCAATTATTATCATTCAAGATTTGTTATGTAGAAGATCAAGACCTTTTTTTAAATCATACATGAAACAAAAATTTTGCGTGCTTTTCAAACTTCTTGTTCAACTGCGGCTTTGCACAAATTTGCTATTTTTTGTATTTTCTTGCTCATGAAAGCAGATTTTTACGAAAAATATATTAAGAAGCCAAATTCAGACTATAATTTTAATTGAAAAGGTCCAAGATGACCGTTTTTTTATAGCAAAAAATTTTGGAAACATCTGGTTACTGTATACTTCCTTCTCATATTTTACACTTCTTAGAAAAAAGTTAAAATTAAAGATCTTTTGATTTATTTTTTTGTTCTCAATTGAATATTACGACCACACTGTTTTCTAAAGAGAAATAACAATTTAATTAAAAAAAGTAATTATTTTCTTTTTTTTTAAATAATTTCTTTGAGCTAAATGTAAAAAAATATGCTGCAAAGAATGTATTTGCAAATGTACAAAACGATGATTATTGCACTCAAATTTTTCCCAACAGTACTCCTTGCACGGCACTGAAAACTGTGCCGCGATACTGTCCTTCAAAGCGGGTGGTAGATTATTTTTCGCATTATTCTACACAGTTTGAGGAGCGAGAACAGGCAGCGAGTCTTATATTCTCGTTGGTTATAATAATTTATATAAATTTCATTCTAAGAATATTAATAAACTGAATTACTTTTTTATTCTGCTTGCAACTAAATAAAAAAAATCAGCAATTATTCTGCTGTTTAGTAACAAAGGTCGCTGCTGCTTGGATAATGATGAAATGAATGGCACCGTTAGCACCATCTAGCCATCTGCTTTAGTAGCTGCGGTGCCCACTCAGGTCACCTTTACAAAACCTATATTGTTGGGAAGCGACACCTGTTGAATCAAACAGGTAATTTTGGCAACTTTGAGGCATAGTGTTTTACAAGAATTTTATTGCCAATTTAATATTGAGAACGTAATTTTTAGACTTTCATTTAGTTAATTTAGTTAATTTTTTTTATGAAAACTAGGTGCACTGAATTTTTATTTAAGCTCTTTATTGCAGATTTAATTTTATTTACAATCACTACTGATTATGTACAAGCAATTTACATAACTTAACTTTAATTACTTACAATTCTCTCTTAGACTTCATTAAATAATTACACGCTCTCTAATATGAACAATAAACAAGTATGCATTCAAGCTGCGTGAAATCACATGTTCGATTTTTTAATATAAACACAGGCACTTCATGAATTGCCTGAGTTGCTTCTGCAAATTTTTTTACACAGCTTAAATTTTTTAAATTATGATTGTGCGTAAAATTCTTCTTCATTTTTTGTAGTGCACAAGAAGTTGTTATAGCACAAAATTATCACAATCACATGAGAAGCCTATTGCATAATAAGATACATTTATACATAAATTCTCATAATATATTGGCGCTAGTAAAATAACTTAGGTGTACAATTTATTTATTTATTTTTTTTTTAATTCAGCTACAAATTTTCACGGTGGGAAAGTAATCAGATAAGAGATGTCAAAATTACCAAATATTTTAGTCAATATTATAGATTTTTGTTCAGCCAAATTCAGTTTGTATTTTTACAAAACAAATTAAGGATAATTCAAAAGCATAACCAGACCAAGGGCTTTGTAATCACATCGCTTCCATTAGTTTTTGATGCATAAATTTTGATTAAAATACATTTAATTTACAAGTAGATTGATTTCAATTGCACATCAAGATTGAATAGAATTTGAGATGAATTAAAGCATTTAAAGTTCAGAGCGTTAAATAAAGATTCAACTTCCCTTTGTCTGATTTTTAAATAATATCATTAAACTAAATTTTAAACTTTCCGATCATGGCTGTTAATTTGTAATTTTTAACTTTTTCAAATATTTCAAACTGAAATTGCATATCATCCCTTGTTATAAATTTCCAATATTTCATTTGAAGTTTTCTATTATTATATAGTTATATAATATACAAAACTGGACTATTCAGAGAGCCCCAAATTTTGTTCTGTATAAACACAAACTCTCACATATTTCCTTTTAAATTTATAAATTATAAACATCTCATGCTCACCAAAGTACTTAATATGTAAAGAATAATCAGTCAAACAGAGTCCTTAGTACAAACTAAAGTAAAACGCAAAAATCACTTGAGTTCCGATTCGTCCTCAATTTCCTGCAGACTGGGCACCAAGGTCTGCAGCGAGAAGTATCTCGAGCGGTCGTCAATCTGGACGCTAGTCACGTGTTGGAAGCAGCAGGGCTGGGAAATTTGAGACTTGGGGGGCAGGCGTTTTGGTGGGCTGGGGGCGGTGGGGGGCTTGACCCCCTTGGGCATGGACAGGCTGATGTTCTCGGGCCGGGAGGTGAGCGACTCGATCTGGCTGAGCAGTTCGTCGGCGGCGTCGACGCTGTCGAAACTGAGCCCAACCACCCGACGGTGGTCCGAGGACAGATACATGGTGTGGAAAGAGGGTGCCACCTGCTTGTAGGCCGTCAGGTTGTCGATCGTGTCCTTCCACAGGGTGAAGCATGAGCCGCGCTCAGCTAGCAAGATCTGGATGCGGCGCTTTCGGCGCGAGCGAGTTTCGCCCAGGTCCAGAATCACCACCGGGATGCCGGTGTACATCAGTTCCCACTCCGGTGGACTGGAGTTGCCACTAAAAGTTAAAAATATTTAGTTGAAAATAATTTTCATTAACAATTAAAATAATTTAATAATTTTAACTATACATAATTTTAAATGATTTATTTTTTATTATAGGTTATTTTTATATAATATAATTATTTTTTAACAAAACTTTTGATATCTTAATAATATATTTCACAAAATTTTTGTATTTCAAAACATATACTATGAGAATAAATAATTGTTTAAAAAAATATATAGTAGTACCTCTGAGTGTAGTGTGTTAATAACAACAAAGTTTAAAAAAAACTTCAATTTGGCCTTTATATTGGTGACCAGTAAATGAGATGTACTTATGAAATAGTAATAATTTCTTCAATTAGGCGTCTATTAAGTATCAGATTAATAATTAAAATAGTTATTTTACTCGGTTGATTCGAAAAAATTTTAAATTGAAATAAAAGAAAAGAAAGAGATTACAATAAGGACACTTAAAATTTTAACGTGATTTTTTAATATTAAATCATAACTGTATTTAAGATAAGAGGCGTGAGAAATATTTTTATATCGAAAAATAGCCCAAAGTTTCCTTTTTTTTTACTTTCAGCCTATAAAATTTTCCTTTCCCGAGGACACAGTATTTTAAAGACTGATCGTGTGCACTTTTACTTGTTGCATGCTGCACTGAAGCTTCTTTATAGTTTTTTTTTTACCCACAACCATATTATCCCAGACAGGAGGTTCCCCTCTCGCCTCGAGGCAGTAAAAAGTTACCACCAAATTACATGGCTCCCTGACAGGTAGACGAAGATTCATTCCGGAGCACCATGAAATATGATTCCCAGGATGAGAGTAAAAAATCGCGGCATCCTGGCATTATTTTAAAAGCGAGGGGCGGTATTTTAATGCGAGTAGAATAAGAATAACCGCGCCGTTAATAAATTCACCCTCATTTGTTGCTTTAAGGAAGAATTAATTTCAGGGCCGCAGGAATTTCACGGTCGATCATTGATTTCCTCTGCGGCTAATAGCGTGTAATTATGTCTGGGCGTACACAATTTTTATTTTGTTTTAACCGACCCTTAAAGCTCCTTTTGATGTTTCAAATTTTCAGTAAACGCTTAAAATCGTTGTTATCATTACAGAATTTGCGTATAATCAAAATTAATTAAATAAAATAAACGAGATAAAAAACAAAATACTGATATTTTCTTTAGCTACCAACTGCAGTCGTTTATATTATTGAAAAAAGTTAATTTTTTTTTGCAATTACAAAATTGCATTTTATATATGTTCATGATTTCACAAATTCACTTTTCTTCTTCATAAAAATATTTTAATATTCTAGTTTTTAATGATTATAATTACCCTGAGGGTGCGTGTGTGGCCGTCCCGAAGTAAAGGTTGGCCAGGGTGTTGCTGACGTAGACCTGCGTTTTGAGGCCCCTGAAGAAGGACTCGGTCTGCAGCCGCTCCTGTTCAGTCACCATGCTCGGTTTTCCCTCATCTTCAGAGGAGGTTGGGCTGTCTGGCCGCTGGTTGGCCGCCTGGATGAGGCCCTGGTACGAGTCGTACTTGGCTGTGAAGCGTTTGACCGCCTGCAGCTCGTTGGACTCTTCAGGCATTGCCTTGGTCTGGCCCTTGACCAGTTGCGGACACGACGCGTACTGGTTCAGGTTGGTGTGCGGACTAGTGATCACCAGGGACTTCATTTCGGTTGTTAGAAGCTGAAACAAAGCGACGAAATTGTAAATAACACGACAGATAAAATTAAATCAAAATTAAAGGGACAGTCAGCAAATATCAGCTGGTTTAATTTTTATTTATAATCTTGAATCTACATATCATTTGTTCTTTGCAAATGCTAGTTTAAACCTCATCAAAAGTTATAGTTGTCAGGTTTCTAACAAAATTTATAGACGTTGGAAGCGGAGAGGATGGCGAGCTAAAAACTTGTTCCTGTGATGCCCCGCAGGTTATTTTGGATCCCCCTTTTGTGTGTGAGAGAATTCCAGAGCACACGCAATAACATTTTACTACCTGCTCTCTCATTAGAGAGGCTGAGTTGATACTTCTGTTTATTTATACATTTTTTCACGATCTGACGCAAAAAGGGGTGCCATCAGCAAAACAGTTAGATCAAGAATGCACTATTCCGAGTTTAAATTAGACCAGTTGAAGAAATAGAGAAAGTTGGCCAATAATTTTTTAATATAGAAGGGAAGACTTACAATTTAAGTTGGAGGCTCAATGGACCGTTTCCTTAGTCTTTAATATGTTTAATATGTTTGAATTTATTGCTTACATTTTAAATATTTTAAAAATCATCCTCAATGGAAAAATTGAAGTTTAAAACATTCAGAAAAAATTATTATTTCCGAATCTCAAAATACAACAATATAATTAAATTTTGTATACTCCTAAATCGTCTATATTTTTGGAGAAAATTTTCAGAACAAAAATTTGTAACATCTAGAAAAAACTTATTTCTCATTTTGTTATTTCAAATTGAACATCATTGGAAGCGTCACGTATGATTTCATACAATATTTCAACACGCATTTAAGTACCTGGCGAGCCATTAAAAGGAATGTTTATTGTTGAAAAAACACGACGACACCTGAGTCAGACTTGTTCGTCTACCGCTTTTTATTTTTTACTTATTTTATTACAGGACGAAATCTTGCGTGTACTCTCGAGTCAAGAGCCTCTCTTTTTTTTATCAGCCCATTTCCACTCGAATATCTTGTGGCGAACCTGAAATATGGCCACTCGGGTCACGATGCTCTCTCGCTTTCTAGGAAGGCATTTTTCTCTCTCTTGACTTTGGCGCGGTTTTTCTCTTCAACCCGAGGGGTTCAAGATTTTGTTGGCTCTTTGTATTACTTTAGCATGACATCATTGCGCGCGAAATAAAAGTGATTTCAACGCCGCGATAGGGAGGCTTTTGGCATCATTACGGCTGTGATGGTGCACTTTTGCTTATGGTGATATATTCTTTGCCAAGAGAAAAAAAAATAGATTTCAGAGCACGTATGTACGTGAGCTGCAAGTTACATAAAAGAAGGAGTTTTCACTTTCCATCTATGCACCTCCGTGTTGTCGCCGTGCATCATAAGAGGCATTATGTCAAGAATGGGAATTAAAATATGGGTTGCGGGCACACCATGACTCACGATTGTGTAAAAGTTAGAAAACGAATGTTCATGTAACTGCTGCGCGTGAATTGAATAAATTTTGACTAAATTAAATATAATGAGAAACATTTTTCTTTGATAAAAATGATTTAAATGTGAGTCTGTTGTAAAAGCAAAAAATTCTATATGATGAAATTTAAATGATAGCAAATGTTGATCAAAAATCAACATAAAAATCAGTAAAATTACTACCTTATCTGATGAGACACGTTTTAATTTATCCATTTCAATTGTAATTATTTTGCTTATCCAATGTATTTTTCCTTTTAAAAATTTCAGTTATTTAAAAATATTGATTTATCAACAGAAAATATTCGAAAATAGTATTCTTTAGACTCGAATTTCACGCGGAAACGTACAATCAACAAACAAAATGCTTGTTAATTTCACAATTGGTGCACCCATTTAAATTCCCCGTACCAAATAGAGAGAGTCCAAAGATTAATGATTCGCGTGCGCAGCCAGCAGCAAAGAAACGCGATACCCAAACAAAAAATCTACATTCGTGTGTGTGGGTATGAATTGGACGCGGGAGCCAGCGATTTCCATGCACGCCCGTCAATAAAAGAGACGAATGACCTAATTTCGATTTGATTCTTTCTCAGAAAGTCACCTGCTCACGGAGAAAGAGAGACGTGGGTGCGAAAAAAATTTATTTGTGGCGAGTGAACCCGGCGGAATAACCCTTTGTCATCTCCTGTTTGACCATGGGAGCGAATTCACACCTCGTTTCTGCCGAGCCGCAAATGAAATCGTCACACTTGAAGTGAGCAGTCGCTTTTGTTCGCTCGAATTCGGAATCGGCTCACGCGTGTGAAAATTAGTGTTTTGCAGGTTCTCACTGGAAAATTAGCACTAGGACCTAGGACCGAATTTGAGGGAAAAAATGTTTTTCTGTGAAAATAAGCAGCAGCTTCTTACATTTTAGTAGAAAGAATAAGACGAAAAAATAAAAAGCTACTGAATTCTATAAAAGCAGTTTCAATCTGAAAAATTATTTTTAACTGCTTCTTATAACACGGTTTGAAGTTTTCAAATTAAATGTTGACGGTTGACAAATTCCTAAATAATTGTAAAATCAAGATGAGTTTCATGATAAAAACGAAAAGCAAAGATTTACAATGAGTTAAACAATGTTAGTTAAAAATTTAAAAGTAAATTTGTATATAATATGGAGCTATTTTTTCAATAATTAACTCATCACTAAATATATTTTATTAACTTCTAAGTTAATAATAATAAGAGATTTGTATATTACTGAATATATGGCAGAATAGAAATTAGAAATAAATAATGAGAACTCATACTTCGAAACTTTTGCTTGTAATATGTAGTAATTAGCATATTATTATTGCATTCATTAAATCCTCTCAATTTAAAACAAATTTTATTAATTAAACTCGAGATTCGAGATCTTGTTTAGATTTTCTCAATAATTGCACAAACTCTTTAACAATCCTGTATTTCCATTTTCCAAGACAGGAAGTGCAAAGCTGTTGCTACGCGTGTCCTTCACGTGATTGCCTTTCCCAGCAAACTGCAGACAAATGCATTTTAATAAACGCACACCTTGCGAAATGCACTTTCCCGGTTCAAAGAATCGCACGGACTTTGACAGACAAATTTCGCGATCGGTGCTGTGCACGTGTGCTTTGTTTTTGCGTCTTAATTTTCATCAACAGTGAATAATATCCAGCGTCAGCATAATTCGCAATCAACAAAAGTGCATTTAATTAATTGAAAAGTCAGGTCGTTTTGTTCTTACTCTGACGAGCACTTATTTTCTCATCTTCCGAATCATCATCTTGTAATTAGGCCGTAAAAAGTGGTTCTTCTTGTTGAGAGTATTTAAAAGTTTTTTTTTTTGCCGGCGGGACTGCAGTGCAAAAAGCAGACCTTTCTTTGGCACTGACTTGCAGAATTTCACTGAATCATTTTGTCGATATAAAAAGCAGGCGCCGAATATGAAAGAATAATGACAGTCATAAAGAAAGAGAACAAAAAGCACGCGAGAATTAAAATTTGATGTTTATTATTGGGCTCTTTATGACGTGTGGGAAAGGCTGGTGCGCAATAATAATGATGACTGTCTCGCCGAGTGCTTGTAAATAAATTTCGCTCGGCGAAAACCAGCGTGAGTTTATTTATGAAGGCGCGCTCCGGAGAGAGATTTGCTCAGGTGTCTCCTCGCCATAACAATAAATTATTTGAGCTTTGTTTATACTGCATGTGAAATTTTTTTTGTATCTCCTTGAAAAATGTCAAATAATAATATAGTAAATAAAAAGAGTACAATAGTTTTAGAAAAAAAAGAATAATTGTTGGCACAACAAAAACATTTTTAGATTTTGAAAACCAACAAACGTGAAAATCTTGTGTTTATTTTATGAAACATGAATTTAAGGCTGCTTTTGGCTACTAAAGGTGAAATTTCATGAATTAAATACGAAATTGCGTGTGATTTTGGGTGGATTTTTTATAAACAAACGAACGTTGAAAGTCTTCCCCAAATATTTTGCGTTAAGTTGAAGAAAGTTTTTTATCTTTTTTATTCAAATCGGTTATTTCTTGTCAAGTAGAACCAAAATTTTTACTTAATAGGCTCTTTTTTTAACAAACTTTTTGTTTATTTGCATCAAACGTTTCATACTGTGTTAATTTCACCGAAAAAAAAACCAAAGAAGTAATTTTATTGATGTTTATTATTTTAATATCGTCATTTCTTCATTTTACGTTGCCAATTTCATATAATCCGGTTTGAAAAAGGCAAAATTTTGTCAACCTCGCGGTTCACCTATATTCAAATAGTGGCAACGCGAGTTTTTTGTTCCTTGAAATTTTTCACAGCGAACGGTAAAAACGTGGCGAAAACTTCGTTCCAACGTCACATACAATTTTAATCTACGAAAAGTAATGATAACAGTTCGCGAGAGGCGCTTCCTGTCAAATTTTACAACCGGCTCCAGCAGCGGGTTCGACGGAGCAATAACTCCTTCAAAAACTGGTCCTGTCGCGGATAATAAAACATACTCTTAAAAAATGAGAGATACTTCAATATTTTTGTCCGTACAGATTGGGAAAAAGATTTTCACGCAATTGGTTTTAGGCTATACGCTTTTTCAACTTATGTAACTAAAAAAAATTAAGCACGCGTGGCATATTTTGGTATATTTACGGCACATTTCATGCTCGTGACGAAGCCACGCTCTCGTTACGCAAATCAATTTTTGCCAGATGGACTGGACACGCCCGTTAAATAGAAGTGAGACAGTTATCCGCAGGTGATCTCCAGTTACTCTGGATTAAATTATTGGATGTCAGGTTTTGGCAATTTATTTTTTATTAGAAGATATCCAAGAATTATCTGGGCCAAGAAAAATAAAATTATGAACTTTTTTATACAATTAATGAATTTTTTCACATTTGTTCGAAAAATAAGTTTTGGAGAATTTTTAATTTTCTTGATTGAAAACCACTTGAAGTTATTTTGGTTAGACTCATTTTTGGTAAGGAAAAACAGAGTTTCTGAG